CCTGTGGCACCTGTCTCGCCCGACAGCCGCTCCGTGGTCTGCCCTCCACTCCCCGGTGCTGTCCCCCGTAGAGCAACGCGGGCCCGGGTGGGTTTCGAGGCTGCAGAGCCTCTCCGCGACACCCCCCCCCCACCCCGGCCCCTGCCGCGGGCGCTGCTGGCGGGGCCTGGTTTCGCCCTTCGTGGAGGGGCTTCCTCAGGGGACCCGTTCCCGCCTGGGAACAAGCTCGGCGCTGGGCTGCCAGAGCTGTCCTGCTTTGACCTTGAGCGTCTGAGGGCTGTGGGCCTCTTCTGGGCCGGATTCCTGGCTGGCTGGCTCGGCTGCTTGGGTTGTTGCGTGTGGCGTTTGGAAGGATACGTGGGGCATATGGCTGTCCATAGTTTGTGTAGTGCGGGGTTAAATGTCATCTGTTGATGCGGGGATGGCCTTAAATCTTGTGATGCCCGCTTGAAAAGCATAAATATGTGACAGCTTCTGGTGTTAAATGTTTTTTAGAAATAACATTTGCATACCTGTAGCAATAACCAGAAAAGCCTAAGCAATTTATCCTTTAAGTATCCTAAAATATGCTGGATATGGGGTGCAGGTTTTGATGAGCTTGTTCTGGGTGGTTCGACCCTTGTTGTCGTTGCTGACGGCAAGAACCCTTGCACTCCTGGATCTTCTTTCTATATGCAGTAATAGTGAATGTGTTATGGTTCTCAGGTTAACTGCGTAATGTGATACCGGAATTCCAGCTGTAGGAGTGGGAGGTGGTGGGAAGACTCTATCTAAATGGTAATGGGCTAGATGCTTGCAGGAAATAAGGGGGCATAATATAAGGTTGAAGACCATAGTCTTTCATTTTGTTGCCGAGCTTTGTCTGTCTGTGTTAAATACTTACGCTGGCCTGGCTGTCAGATTTGCTTTTTTGTTTGTTTGTTTGAAATACTGGTAACTTTTCAAAAACAGGCTGAAATACAGTAGACCTTTTGCAGATCTAATAACAGTGTGATGTCTAAATACTGTGATTATCCAAAACGTACAGTCGTTTTTGATACAACACGGATGAATGTCATGTGGAGGAACGTCAGTTTGGAAACAGGTGGAATGTCAACAGTATGTTGTACCAAATTCCTGGTTTTGTTTTAATTGAAGTGAGAATAGGCACTTTTGGAAACCAAGCATCCTGTAAATGAGAGATGGGGAAGGAGAGACTGCATTTCTAACTTACTGAATGTCTTACTTTCCCAACTTGTTGGTAGCACCTGTGACAGTAGATGTTTAAACAGCACCTCGCAAAGACAAGTTATCCTACGTCTTCCATTAGTGGCGTGGCTGTGCATGCGAGTGGGTGGTCATGTTCACAAGTTAGGCCATGTTTATACTGGTAGTGCTTTTATTGTGTAAAAATACTGCCATGCTACACTGACCGCTAGAAATACTCATCGCCCGCACAGCAAGCTACACGGGTAGGAATGCAGCCTGTCTGGTGTAAGTGGGCTCAGCCTCTGGTCTTCTGCCGTTGTTCTCCCTTTGAATAAGGGGAGGATGCTTCCATGTGTTCATCGCTGACTTAGTTCTCTTGACCAGAGTTACTGCTGTCCACCTCTGGTGTCTTCTCGCTTAGCTGGGAATGACTGCTTGGGCTGGGCTGACTGAAAGTGCTTCTTACTATTCTACTTTTTTTTTTCTTTTTTACTTTGGTGGAGCTATATTATATTGAATATGCAGCGTGTAGAGGAGAACCAAGAAGAGGTATGAAGTATGTTGTAAAAAAAACCTGTTTTGAAAATTGTTGAGAAAAATAGGAGATAGAAAGAGACTAAACTAAATGATACCTGCTAAAGCATGAAATAGAAAAATGGAAGTAATTTATTTGTATGCACACAAATTGTCTTTCAGATTAATAATCATGTTGCCCTGACTTGTAGCTGAAAAGAAGTTGAATGATAAATAGAAACAGTAAGCGATATGTTTCCCTCTGAGAGCTCGGGGAGAAGAAACACTGCAGGATCAACCATTTTTCCCCAATAACTGAAACAAGAAATGAGAAAAAAAGCACCAAAGAGACTCAGTAAATGATTTCAGTAGTCAACACATCCCTATTTTTATCAGAAACTTGGACTTCAGTATAAGCATAAAAAATTATGTAAAGCTGATGAATGGTGCTTTGCCTAATTTGGTTTCTAGTACAATTTGCAAAAATCAAAGGGAATTTAACCTTACATTTATGTCTCTTCTGGCTTACTTCTGAGGATAAGGAGAGTGAACAAGTTTTGGTACAGCCACCATTTTCAGAACAGTCAGAAAAGGATTCTACTTTACAAATTCCTTTGAAATCCATCTGCAGAATATGTGAAATCAGATGTATTGCAAAATATAACCACAATCTAGATAATGCGTAGGTATGCGCATGGCATATGACACTATTTCAGAATTAAAATCGGAATAAAATGATAGAAATGAGTTGAAATTCGAAATGAATGAATGAGTAATATCTTAGGACCTCAGGGTATAATAAAAAAGGAAGTTGGACAAAGTCTTGCCCAAATGCATTGTATTAAAAGGTTACCCGAGTAAGGCAGTGATAAGGATATGAGAACTTCTGACATGTTTTTGTGAAAAGAAGTATCAGGGTTGTTTGGAGACAGAATGTTAAACTCACCTGAAGTTTATTATATTATTAGAACGATGGGTATGGATGAATAAAAGGTTTGTCTAAATCTTCGATTTTAAAGTTATTGTGGGCAAAGAATAAATGAATACATTGTCAGGCCACCACTTTTTTTTTTTTTTTTGTTAAGTTGGTAGATTCTGTGTTAAACCATGTATCAGAATATTTAAAGAGATGTCACAATGTAAAGGCACAGCCTTACCCTGGAAGCAAGGCTTCTCTCTCAGTAGAGGAGAGTGCTGCAAGCATAATGTAAGACGGTGAAACTCATGTACGTCCTTTTTTTTTTCTACCAAGCTGAAAAGTATCCGGAAGTTGGCAAACTCTTCTTTAAAACAAACCTACAAATCTAGGTTTAAACGTAGTCGTACTGGTTTGAGTTGTTTTTCATTGTTATGTTTGCTATGGCTTTTTTTGTTTATTTTAACTGTATTACTATATTAATTGGACTTACTGGTTTGCTGAGAGTAAAAAATAAGAAAGAAAAAGAATACCTCAAGATAAGTCTTCTGTCAGTAAATGCTTGGAAAACATCGTTTGCTAGCTACTGAAAAAGGAATTCTCTTCAGAGAGGGTATAGTGACCATTTGAAGACATGAGGCTGAAACATGTAAAAGTGAAAATAAATTGCAGTTTATTTTAGAAAGCTTGTCTTGTTGCTGTGCTCAGACACCTGGAGAGAAGGTGACTATTTGAAATCATGCACTTATCAATCATTGCTCAACAGAGAGGGCAGTAGCCTCCAAGCCTAGTGGGTGCGTGTGGGAGCTGAGCGGTTCCACTGTGGGACAGGAAGAGCACAAGGCTCGCGGTGCTGGCAGGTGCTGTGGGAGCCACGGGGAGGGTGCAGTTGCACTCACACTGGAACATGCTCGTTTTCTCTTTGCTAATGATTTTTCCAACCCACCAAACTTGTGTGGTTACCATGGATTTAGCTATGTCAGATAAATACCTTCCATATTCTGTTTAGAGTAACCCAAACAGCCTTACTTCTAATACGCAGTCTCAGGATCTTTTTATGAAGGTGGGGAAACTGCTAACTGCGCGATGTTGCAGGTTTGATTGTGGATAGCTGAAAGAGGCCCTACCAACCCAGGGCACAAGCCAACCTTTTTCAGGATGGCAACAGTTTGTTTTGGTCCAGGGAACAGTAGGTGATACACTATATACAATGTTATACTTAATTTCTGAGTAAGGATTTTGTGTTTCTGTTTGGCTTGGCATTGTCAAAGTGACTGGTTGACTCCAGGAGGTTACATTTCATATATTAAAAAAAAAAAAAACACCAAACTTAAATGTTATATTCTGCATTTGGGATTGTTGGGCTTCAGCCTGGAGACTGAAATAAAGATTATTTTAAAAAAAATGGCTTTACCCAGATTGTTTACATTTCTTTGACGGATGCGTTGCTGCTATAATTTAAATTGGGTATGAAGATGGTAACTCTGTGAGCTGAGATGAAATTAAGTTTAAGGAGGAAACCCTCTGCAAACATGTCAAAAGAGTGCAGGTTAAATTCTAAGTGTTTTTTTGTTTTTCTTACCTTCAAATGTGTACTTGAATAAGAGGGAAATAGTGACCA